TTATTGATGTATTAGTGCTGTTAGCCACAATACTTAAGAGCTTTACATTTGCACTTTTGAAAACTGAAGTGCTGCACTAGCCAAAAATAAGATGTAAAAAAGCAAATTAAATTTTGTTAAGAATTGCAGTTTGATTGTTGTACCCAGAAGAGTAGCTTTCATTTTCAGATTTTGCCTTAATTTTTGCATGAGGCTGTTGTACTAAAGACAACAGTTCCATCGTCATTTCGTCTTCCATCAGGCATGGCACGGTATCATTCCCTCCCTCACATACCCACATCCTGTAACAAAGAGAAAGAGTAAGCCTTTAACAGACCAAGGTTAGACAGAAACTTCCTCTTAGATCTGGTCATTCCAGATTTATCTGCAGTTGAGGTTCTTTCTTTTTCGTAACGAAAAGCAGTATTGCTAGTACACGGAAACACAACGTAAGCCTAGAAATAGCATTTGTCTCATTGGCATTTCTTCTGAAGCTGAAAACACAAAGAAAATCCATCTGTGTGAGTTACCATTTGTCATCTTCCAATTATTTTCAAAGCTCTGGGAGTCTCTACGTGGACCTTTATTATTCCTAATTATAGAGTGAAAGCAAGAAAGGTGGAAATAGTTGAAAGAACTTCAGATCCCGTAAAAATTGATTCCCCAAACAATATGTAATAAATGATGCTACAAAAATCATGTCTCAACATTTTATGTGGTGATTATAATTATATGTGGGTTATGTGGATTTAAGTGAACCAAACTAATCTTAAAGTGACTTTGGAACTATTTTTTGAGCACAAGTAGTCCCACTGAATTCACTGAGAACTGTAGCACATTTAAATTGTTAATATTAAACACCTGGTCAAGATCGTCACTGTAACAGTGCTTCAGTGGCCAACTCATCTACCACATTGTGTGAGAAAGCCAGCTTCCCATCCTTGTCCTTCAGCCGTGCAGAGCAGGCGGTGCAGCACAGCTCAGGAGCTGGTATGCCGCAGGAAGGCTGAGGGATGGAGGGGGATTGGGGCTTGAGGGGTTCTGATATTCCCACCTTTCTATGCCTCTCGTATGCTCTGGCACTGCCTAAAGCTTCACACGTGTTTCTGGTCATGTGCCATTCACTTAGGAGTCATGCAGCTATGCAGAGCACATTCTGTTCATATCATGGCTACTTCCATCCCATAGATAGTGCCATTAGCCCATGGCTTGGGAAGAGTGTTTGATGTCATTAGACTCAGCAGGGGCTTTTCCAGATGATTTAAGGCATGGTATTAACAAGCTGTGAAAGTAGTTTCAGCTAGCCCTTTTTAGCTATGCGGGTGATAACTTCAAAGCACTGAAAAAAGGAGTAGGCAGAGGGAAGAAAAATCTTCCAAGATTCTAGCAGCACAGACAGGAATCCTCAGTATGGGAAACCATGACTCGTAATAACATTATAATGAATAATACCTCAGTGTTATCAGGGTATCTGTTGCAAAGCAAAGGACTGAGACACAAAGTCAAGTTCATACACAGCACCTGCAGTTACTGTGTATACTCTTAGCCTGCAGCAAAAAAGTCAAATACATTAATTTAAGTCTCACTGCAAATGATTTAAGTGAATGTGTTTCTCCCACATTTGCAAAGGTTTAGATTGTATTTACAGTCACCACAGTTCAACAGACACATGATAATGTGAGGAGCCACAACTGAAAGTGTCTGATCTCTTAATCTATACTTCAGCAAATCTTCCAGACATGCAGGAGACTAAGCGACCGTAAGTGATGCTCCTCAGTCTTCTGTTAGATCATTTCCTATTTTTCTGAAGCATCACATACCCAGCAGCTTGCTAGAGCAGCTGTAGATCATCAGGCCCAAGCCTCACTGGAGATACTCACAATCTTTCTTCTTTTTTTTATTTATTAATCATGAATTATGGCTGTTAATTCACTATGTAGAATGTACCTCACAAATAATTAAAGTAAACATAGTCCCGGAAGTATACTTTGCATGTACAATTGTCATATTGTCATGTTTTTATGCAAGGATGCCATTTTAACAATAGCAGAACATGGATGGATATACAACACTCAGAGATACCATGTCACAGGATGCAGGCAATTATTGTGTCCCTTCATGACACTGTATGCCAGACCCTAATACTGCTTAAATTCATTATTGCTGGTGCTATTATATAGGGTTTAAAGATGTCTTTACATGATTAAGTTCTTTGGCTTTTAAAGTATGGTTGCTATAGCCAAGTCTTTCAACACACTGTTAGATACAAGCGCTTCATTCTTCTGCTGTTTAGTATTAACCATAATATCTTGTAACAAAATTGAAAGAAAAGTGCCATAGGCCTAATTGTACTGTCACAGCCATGTAAATCAGAAATAGCTTCAGTAAAGCTATTGTTATTATGCTGGTGTAAAATTGAAGTAAATTAGAAATTACTTGGATGCTGTAGCTCTGCTTTCAGATAACACCATGTAAAAGCCTCACTTACAACTCCCATATAATGGCTTATGAATGAAATACTCCTTACCTCATCATATTACATGTTATTGTATGAAAAAACAGCAATATTTATAAGGGATGACATAGCCAGATAGATCAATGTAAGTTAATGTTATGGGGCCAGATTCTGAGCTGTATTGACTTCCCTGAAGTTAATGCAGATCTACAAAGATTTGACTCCCATCAGTATATAACTTACCATCACTTCCATAAAACTAAATTGCTTAGCTGTTATAAAATGTAAAATAAGAATCCTGACTTTAGGTAGAGTTTTTTAGTTTGGGTTGGGTTGGGGTTTTCTGATGTGATATTAGGCTAATAAACAGCACCAGAAAGGAAATGTGCCAGACGTGATGGTTACATCAAGAACTATGAAGGAAGCTAGTAATGAACTCTAGGAAAATAAATAAGGGCAAGTTCAGGAAATGTAAGTGGAAATGCAGCTCTGGTATAAATTGAATAATAAAATTCCTGGTCATATTTTGCCATAAATAGTGGTTTGGGAATTTGTCATTCACCTTATTTAAAATTCAGAAATATTAAAGGTACAGCGTTCTCTCATTATAGAAGTAATAGAATTCTAGCTATTACAGAGTTAGGGTAATTTAAATAGCTATAGAATGTGTTATATCATTAAGTGGAACATATGTATGAAATGTCCACCTGCTAATATACTACTCAGTGTACTTTACAATGAAATGTACTTAATCATTTTAAGACGTTTTCTAATGAAGCCTTATTGGGATTAACATTTGGAACACAAATACTTTTAGGCATTTAAACTTCTGCTTTAAATGAGATTTCATTGTCTTGTTTATACTTGTTGATTAATAAGCAATCTGTTAACTGTTAGACCAATTGTGCCAGTGGAAGCAGATTAGTAATTCAGCTATGTTTGTGGAGGTTTAATCACCATTTCTCTTGAACGCTTTGAATGAATGCACACTATCCAGAGGCAAAGAAAAGATATATATTTTTAGAGGTGTATACCAATGTTTTGCTTCAGACTTTCAGCTTAGTATTATTGATCAAGCACATACTTCCATCTGCAAAACACTTCTTTGAGGTACACCATTTCTAAGTATAAATTCCAATTTTTAAAGAAAAAGTGATATGAAAATCTGGAACTTGAATTCTCTTTCTGTAGAATGTTATTATTTTTCTAATAAATTCAGGAAGGTAGGTCTTGATTTTTTATCGGTTAACACTTGCGAACAGCTTTGAGACGCAGTGAGGGGTTTTTTTTTGTTGTTTGTTTGCCTATTATGATTAACTGGAAGCTTAAAGGAAAATACCCTGATGATAGTTCAGATTTTCTCATGAGGTCATGCACTTTCATCTGTGGCATCTCACAGAGGGAAACAGATGTTGGCAAGTTGCAGTTTAAATTATCTGGAAAGCTCCCATGTGTGGAGCACAGTCCTCTTAAATTCAGGAGCAGCACAGGTCTATGGTAATAGATGAATACCTGAACCATGCAATGCTATAAAAGCATAGGGTCTCAGAAGCTGGGCTGAAGCAGCCATCCTTGGATGTATTTGTGTCTTCTGTACCCCCGCTTCATAGATGTTATTATTAAAACACATTATGAGTTAATAAAATCCTGATTTGATGTTGAATGGCAGTAGAGTGTGATTGCAGATAAAACCATGCTTGAAAGCACGCCATGCCATTAACTGCTTCCGGGTGGTAGATCTCTCTTTAGTTTTGGCATGTAGGATACATTATTTACACTGCTGTTCAATGAGATTCTCAGTGTAGTTACTTGGGTTTCTGGCATAGAACCAACTTATCCTGGCTCCCATCAATATTCAGCAATATTAAGGCTTAGTGATTGTCTCCCATAATGCAATTCACATCAGACTGCATTCCTGGTAGCATTGGAATCAGTATGATGAAATAAACGCAGTCAATTACTCATCTTTAAGAAGGATACAGTTATCACAGTATTCCTATGTTTACTTGAATATGGAACTAACCTGTAAATATTTTATGATAACAAAAAACATCTGCAAAGAATTTTATACTGAATCTTCTCCTTCCTTAAGGTTTCTCCTTTGACAGGGTACATATGTCTCGTAATTTCTGTTGTTTTTTTCTAAAAATACATATATTCACATTGCATGACTACAATATTTTTCCCCCATTTTTTTCCTGAAGGATTTCTAAAGCTGATTACTGCCAGGGTAACTTATTTCAGATGTGTCCCAGATGAATAAAAAAGAAAGGAAGAATAAACCAGTGTACACCATAAAACTTTCAACATTATTGAGACAGTTAGCTATGTATGGCATTTGTTTGAAGAATACTGAAAGTAGCTTTACTCTGTTTGTGCTATTAAGATTAAGACTATGTTATCTGTAATAAAACACTAAGCTTTGACATTAAGTATGGGAATTTATGGAAGGGCTGAAAAAACTATTGTAAGACAGAGATTGGGCACCATTAAATATCAGATAATAGTTAATGTTTTAATTTGCAAAGTATTCCACACTGACATTTATTGTTTGTCTATCCTGCAGTCTCTATGCTGTGAGATCAAACAGAGGCGTCGCGGGGTAGCCTCTGTGCTGCGGTTATGCCAGCACCTCCTGGATGACCAGGAGACCTGCAACCTTAATGCAGACCACCAGTCCATGCAGTTGATAATCGTAAACCTTGAGAGGAGGTGGGAAGCCATTGTCATGCAAGCTGTCCAGTGGCAAACAAGGCTACAGAAGAGACTGGAAAAAGACTTGGTGAGTGATGCTGGCTTTAAAAAGATCTCATGTGGTTTCCTTCTTCGAGAGAGACACTTTTTCAGTGCAAGGCAAATGCATTCATCTCAGAGTGTTTTCTTGCGACTGAAGATGCCATTCCTAGGCATTAATAAGATAAACTCACAATATGTATTTTTGTTTGGCTGGCTATTTAATCTCATCACATCTGATCCTGTCAAGTAATGAAAACAAGCTTCTCCTGTTGCCCAGTTGCTCAGTACCTAACAGAACTGGGCCACAGACACATTTCATTGATTGTAAATGTATTTCAGAAACAGTATTTTCTGTGTAAGTAAGACTGGTTTTAATTAACATCCCAGCAGCAGATATGTATTTCACATAGAATGGCATGGGTATGTGATTAATATACAATTCTGTGTTATTTGAGTATAAGTAAAATGCATTAATTTGCTTTTATCTCAGGGAAATGATTCCTAAGAGGCAAAACAGCACTCTGCTTAAGCCATATATTGAGTGGCATAAATTAGACAGGTTTTCTACAGCGTAAAACTATATTACAAAGCAGTACCTACATTTAAACAATAAACCATAGGGGGAACAAAATAATCCCTATTGTAACACCATTGACTGTAATGGATGAATTGTCTCAGCATGTTTGTGCTACTATCATAATGCTGAAGTCAGTATTCTGAAGTCTGTATACTGCAGCTACACTGACAGCAGTGATAACCCTATGTGGTGCATACACTGAAGAGCGTTGGTGAGATTTGAGAATGAGTAACATATATTTAGCTTACATAATTTTTTAGGTTTATATCAAGCAAATAAAAGGAAAAAATGCCGGCATTTACATGCTTCCTAACAATTATCTAACAGTGAAATACTACTTTTGACTTCTTTTTGTTAAAGTTCCTTTACAAAAATAACAGAAACTCTAATTCTCTTGTTCAGTTACGGTAGTGTAGTATGAAGACACGCAAGACATTGTTCAGAAACACTAGCAGTTCCTGAGTGAAAATACTATTAGTCTTAACAGGCCAAGAAATGGTGAGTTAGTGAGGAGGATGCTGTGGACAAGAGAACCGTTGAAGGTGATGTGTTGCCTGCCTGCCTTTATCAAATGTTAAAAAGTAGCATTGCTCCTCTGCCTGTTTGGTTTATTGGCTGCCTTGCTTTAGGTATTGAGACAGAAATGGGACTTGAGGAAGGAACAAGGTTTGAAGAGACTTTCAGGACAAGTCAAAAGAGGCATGTCTCTGTATGAGAGAACATGGAAGGAAGGCTTCGTTGAAAAGCAGATGGAGTGTCAATGTTGGTTTTATAAGCATGGGAGCAGTAAACTGAATGTAAGAAGTGTAGATAATTGAGGAGAGTCGGTTAAACTCTCAAAAATTTTATCTAGTTGGAAGAAGTGTAAAAATGATGAAGCTACATGTGATTGTACAAGGGTATAGAGAAAAGAAAACATTATCTTTCAGCCTTTCCTTACACATCTTTGTGCAGAGGGGGAAGTAATGACTGAAGAGGAATGCTATTGGAAACAACCAAGATCAACTAAAAGCTTTCACTATGTGACCATCAGAAAAAGGTCAAATCTTAACAATGCTAAGTTTACTCTCAAAGAGCTAGTGAGAGCTGTAGATGTCACAGCTGATGCAGATTACTAGAGGGAGAACAGTCATACTGACAGCGCATGAAGAAACAAGGAGATCTGGGGAGGACAAGGCAAGAGTTCCATTTTATTGGTTCTTAGTTTATGCTAGTGGGCACCAAGAAGGAGATAATTAAAAGATAGGTAGAAGGCCAGGGTTAGATGCAGAGGAATTCACTTGAGCCCTCAGTCCAGAGATGGGAACTGCAGGTATCTGAATGTATACTCTAATCTAAAAAGGAGAAAGGTAAGGAAAAAGGCTTGTTTGAGTCTAGTGAAAAGCAAAAGATGAAGGAAGATCAATTATCAAAAACCACAGAGGAGGCAGAAAAAGAATCTAGAGAGCAGAGAAAAACCAAGGCAGTAATTTTTTGAGAATCTGATCAAGTGGAGTCAAAAGTAAAACAGAAGCTGGTAAAATAAAGATCATAAGAAAATCTTACAGAAATTTCAGTGGAATTAAAGTTAAATTTAGTGCTACATAAAATCTTTAATAAGCTGACCAGCAGTAGAGAAAAAAGCTGAATTTTGGAGCTTCAAAAACAGGTGTGTGCAATCTTAAGCAACAGCCAAACCAAAAAATAGTTCTTACAATCTTGAATTTTAGTTGCTAGAGGATGAGTTTCTGTTAGGTCTATAACTGCCCAAGAGAGAGTGGGCTGGGTTTCTACTGTGTTTCTGCAAATGGTAAAGTACCACAAAGATGATGAACTGCCTTTTTCATCTAGAAAACTTGTCATTTTGTTGTAGTAAATATATATCTTCTATTGAATTTGGAAGAGAAACAAGTTGAATTTGCAAGATAGCTTGGGGAGTGCTGAATGAAGGTCCAAGTTACTGTAGTGAAAGCATATCATCTCCTTTTGTGTGTGGACAGCTGCTGTGTGGAAGCAGTTTGCTGTTTGTACCTGCAGTTTCTCTAAATAAAATGTTACGAGCTAATTAGAACTTGCTGTTGCCCTTGCAGCAGGAGTGAAATAAGTCTTGTGTTTCTGTTTGGGATTGCAATCGATCTGGAGTTGAAGCATGGTGAGGGTATGAGCACAGCACCTTGCTTGATATCTGGGTGCTTGGAACTTCACAAGGTGCATGCTGCTTTGTTCCCACTTTGCCTGAGGTAGTCTGGAGTTATTTGCAGGGCTGACTTGACTTTCACTGGGCAGAGGATGCATCATTCTTTCTGCTGAGAAATGGCAGCCATTTGGAACTATCATGATGCTCATCTAACTTTCACTGTGGGCTGTTTTATTTTAGAACCTCTCATCCTAGGCTTGTTTACAATAATATGATTCTTTGAAATATGTCAGTATCTGCAAGTTTCTCATGTTGATAGAACTATCTGTATTCTCAACACTTGGAATTGAGAATAGCCAGGATTCAGGTTTCTTTGTCCACCCTGGCCTGAGTTGGCATGTTCTAACCTTCCTTTTCAGTCAGTTCCTGTGTAGTCATTTCTTGGGTAGGTACCAGAACTGTTTCTTCTGCTTCCCTATCTCTCTGTATTTGATGGTGTGCCAGTCTTGGCACACAAACAGTATCCCTTGGTAACAAGTCTTTATTTGTGGTTGCCCACAAAATACTGTAATTTATGAAAACAAATGAGATGTTTTTATACCCTGATGGCATCTGACTCATTCATGGCATCTGACTTGCTGACAGTAAATAAGATAGCCCAAATGATTATATTGCTTCATATAAGTACAGGAGTCACTTGCATCTTCTACTGTCTTCTTAATTTGTGCACTGGTATCTTCCCTTGTCCTGCTTCTGCCCTTTTTTTGCATTCAGTCATTTATATGGGCCACTTGTGGCATTACAAAGGTATTCTGGAATTAACCACAAAAAGCTTTTAGGTTTCTTTTGATTTTTTTTTTTGTCTCCATTGATGGTTTTCAGTAATGTTTAGTTTTGCCCAACTTTTGCAATAGCAGGCACTATAAGTTTGCAAACAAGAAGAAGATATTAACATGTGCTCCAAGCACTTAAAGTCTAGTAAAATGTGTCCTTCTCATAAATCAAAAGTTATGTCTAGAATGTGAAATTTTCAGTAGGAATCACTTCACAAGGATGAAATGTGGTTAAATTCAGTAGGTTAGTCTAGCTATAAAGAATTAAGTATTTATACAATGAAAAAAACCAAAGACTTCTTTTAAAAAACAGTAGGACATTTGTCTGTTACTGGAAGCAGTCCTAATCTGTTTTAGCAAAACAGGTTTTTATTTCCCCCATCTGGTTTGTTTGGTTTTGGGGGGGGGGGGGGGGGGGGGGTTTGTCTTTTCTATGGTTTTTTTTTTTTTTTTTGTGGTAAATTCTTTTCCCTCAGATTTATCATTTCATAGTTTGCTGATATAATGCTATATGTCACCTAAATTTTAGCTTCAGAATTACACAGATGCCTTATAGTTTGCCTAACAAGACCCTGCTAGCAATCATCTTAAAAGAAAGAGGAGTCTGACTGGCAATTGCAACAGCAATAGCAACAATATTTAGTCAGCTAGACCCAAAACTGCCATCTAAAATTCCTGCTCAACAGCTGGAGAAGCTTTAACTCACTATCCACCTTCCTTTAGAGGATCTAGTCTGCTTGAGAGACTGAACAGTTAAAAAAGGATTTGGAACAGATTCAGTCATGGTCATGCCTAGGAGTTTACAACAGTTAAGTAAAAGTGGGAACATGTAAGTTGTTTTATGCAATTTTTTTTTAATCTTTTGTTCAGCCAGTGGTGTGTTACGTGTTTAGCCTCAGTGGATTATTCCAGCCACTAGAGATGTTCACAGTTTGGGGTTGTCCTGTCCAGGTCAGATATGTCTCTGTATAGAAAGCTACAGTGAGGTGATGCTGGAAATTCACTTTTCTGGGACTGTTTTACTAATACTGGAATACATAAAACTGTTGTATTGCTGTGGCTGGAAGAGAGACAAAACTGTGACTTCTAATGGATTTTACTTCTTGAGTTGTGATTCAGTATTCCTGCCTTTTTGGTGACTGGAGAGACTGTTTTTTCTCCAGACTGCTCATTGATTGAATGAGAAACATATCTGTTTTATGGAGCAGACAATCTCTTTTCTTATTCAACAGAAAGGGCTAATTATTGAAGGGACAGTATTAATCATGTTTTTTAAATGGAGATTTTGAGCTAAGGCGATTTGGATTAAGGTGCACTTCTCACATTGTCCTGAAAATGTCTGAAATAGTCATTTGTCTGATCACTAAGTTCACTACTATGCTCCATGAAAAAAAAAATTATTTTTATTTCTCTTGTTCTCCTGAGTCATCCTATGTGTACACTACACTCTATGTCCAGCAAAACTCCCATCTGTATTGGCTTGCAAGTATGCTCTACATCCAGCCACATAATTGAAAATA